CGAGTAAGAAGGAAATCATGGATGTTGTGTTTGGGATTGATCCCAACAACGTCTCCGGACCGGATGGCTTCTCATCCCTCTTCTTCCAGTCATGCTGGGAGATTGTGGGAACTGACGTAGAAGAAGTTGTTAGGGATTTCTTCTATGGCCACCAGATGCCAGAATCCTTCACAGCAACTTCCATCATTTTGATCCCGAAGAAACCGGGACCTAACTCCTGGTCCGACTATAGACCTATCAGCTTATGCAATGTGACTAACAAGATCATCTCGGGAGTCTTTAACGGGCGCCTCGCCCCTCTCCTCCACCACCTTGTCTCTCCGAACCAAAGTGGATTCATCAAAGATCGAGTCATTAGTGATAATATACTTTTGGCTCAGAAAATGATACACGATATCTCTCATGCAAATCAAACACGAACCCCGAACCTATTGCTGAAGCTAGACATGGCCAAGGCATACGATAGGGTCGATTGGTCGTTTCTCAAGGAGGTAATTTTTCGGATGAGATTCCCTAATCGATGGATTAGCTTTGTTGAGGCGTGTGTGGAGCACTGCACATGTTAGAGTAGGATACCCAACGTTCCAATCGGATTGGACGTATTCAACTTGTAAATACAATCTATTGGAATTATATTAATTAAAAGGCATTACTTTATTTTAAGAATAAGCATTTATCTTATATTTGCACTTAAGATAAAGTCCCTAGATCACTTATAGCTATAAGGTATGGTTGCGCATAGAGATGGTGATCATGGAACATACCTTAAAAGTTGTGATCTTAAATACAATTCCAAGTCGTTGGATGTTTTGAGATGGGATATCAAATAAATTCGGAAAAGACTTGCACATATGATGTATGCTTGTTGGACAAGAATGTTGCATTCTATCAACATTAGCGTGGGACGCAAATACATATATGTGGGTGCTTGTTAGAGAAAAAGTTCACTGAACATGACCGTATGAAAATTCTTAATGAGAATTTTTCTGTCGAATAAGAATTTTCAAGTTACAATAGTACATGATTAATCCTTAGACTTGAGGCACGATAGTAACTTTGTGCATATTATGTTTTACTTTGATTTATCCTTTTGATTGCTAGCACAATCGTATAAAGGGATATTTTGGGTATTATATTAATATGTATGAAAGTTTGTTAGTAGCCAACAAAGGATTCGGCACTTATGAAGATAAGTGAATTTCCTATGTGTTTCATAGTTAGTAATTAAAAGTCCTTGGCCAAGGCGGGATGAATAGAGATTCATAAACGAATTACTAAACTTGAAATGGAATCATAGTTATTAAATCAATTTGGGTTTCGATAAAATCATACCCAAGATTTAATTGGGAAATTGGATGTCGAAAGAATTTTACATGTATGGACTTGTAATCGAAATAGGTTTACTCGCTATTCACTTAATACTAGATTCATGCTACTTGCTAGATGTTCCCATGATATGTGGGTTCTTGAATTAAGGAGTTAATTCATGAATAAGAATTAATAAGATTAACTCAAATTACAAAAAGTTGTAAGCCCACTACTAGTATTAATTGTGAACCTAAAAGGTCACACCAATTTTTGAATGAAGGTAAAATTCAAATAGTAATTCTAAAGAGTTAGAATTAATTGACAAATCTAATTTGATTAGATATCAATTTATGAAATATATTAAATTAATCAATTGGATTGATTAATTGAATTTTAGATATTAATTTAGTAATTAATGGAATTACTAAATTAATAGTTGGAATTAAAAATTGGATTTTAAATTTCAAATCCAAATAATAATATGATTATTAAAATGAGGAGATGGAAGAAAAGATTAAAATAAAAAAGTCTTGCAATGTTTTCAAGAATTATTATTTTATTATTTATCTTTAATATGATTAAAGATTAAATATTAATAATACTAAATTAATTATAGTGGTTTGGAGTTGTTAATTACTTCACATAATTAATTTTATTTCTATTAATAGAATATTGGGTGGGTAATAGTCTTCTTCAAGATTTAATATTTTATGAAAATATTCTTGAAGACTTTAAAATATTCTACCTAATATTATTATTTTATACTAAAATATTTAGTATAAATATGGACGTATTTGATGTTCAATTAAGCTAAGTTTTTGGCTTAGTTTTTCAAGAGTTGAAAAGAGAGAAAAGAAGAAGTGTTCTTCAAAATATAAAACAAGAAAGAGTTCTTGTAAATATCTCCTCAAAAATATATTCTATACTTATTGAATAAAAACCGAGTAGTTTCTACTAGCGAAGAAATTATTCCGGAACCGGATTTCAAAAGGTGGACACGATTAGGGGAAAAACATTTGGATTTCTAAAGTGAGTAACATCAAGAAGTGGACGTTACCAAACCGGGAATTGATTTCCTCATCCATCGTTAATTTGAAGGAGTTCAAGAACAAAGATAAATTTTAATTTACTTATAACAAATCAAAATTTGTATTATTACATGTTTTTAAATGATGACAATCTGTGCATTCTTTACATGTACGTATGGGTTGAGTATTTATATGATAAATACTTGTTTTGAAACATAATTTTTCCGCTGCGTATAACCCGTACGGTACATGTGAACCTAACAGTGGTATCAGAGCCACGGTTATCATCTTTAAAAATAAATTTTGATTTGTTAATGTTTATAAGATAAACAAAATAATTAAATGTTTTTATGATAAACATATTAATAATTAAAATAAAAAATTCGGTTTTTTCCACATGGGTCGTGTGAGGGGTCACACGAGTCGTGTGGATCCACACGAGTCGTGTGAGGTGTCACACGAGTCGTGTGGCGTAACATAAAATTTGATTTTTTATTTCGTAAATTTCACACGGGTCGTGTGGACTCACACGAGCCGTGTTCATGAGCAACACGGGTCGTGTGAGATCAAGAATAAAAAATCGTTTTTTTCTTTCGGCTTTTTCACACGAGTCGTGTGACGTAGTCACACGGGTCGTGTAGACTCACACGAGTCGTGTCATGAGCCACATGAGTCGTGTGAGTTAAGGAAAAATTTTACAGCTTTATCACACGAGTCGTGTGATTTGATCACACGGGTCGTGTGACTTAATAATTTTTTTTTATTATGTTTTAATTCATGTGATGAATGGTTTAATTTAGGGATGATCATGAGCCTTTTATTCAATTTGATTGAATGTCTATTTCTATTCAATATGATTGAATGGTTGTAAATTTATTCAATATGATTGAATGATTGTAATTTATCGAGACGTGCGAGTCTCTTGTTTTATTCAATATGATTGAATGTTGCATTTTATTCAATATGATTGAATGATTGAAATTTATCGAGACCTGCGAGTCTCTTAAGTTATGATTTGTAAAATTTTAAATTTTTTTTGTATCGTTAGAAGATTAGATCATGTTGGAGAATCGTTCGATGCAAAAGGCCCACGCTTGTGTGAGTAATTTTACAAGTTATAAATCTCGAAGACCTGTGCTTGTACGGGTAGATAAAATGAAATGTAATAGAAGTAGTTCTATTTATTTGTTTTATCATGTGCATAGGCATAGACCCATTTTGGCTCGAATGGGTCATATAGGCAAGGTCATGATCATCCCACCGTATGAATGCATTAGATGCATGTTAGGTTTATTTATGCTTGAGATTCATGCGATTAATAATGCGATAAATAAACACACGTAAAGATGGTAATCGATGAGATCTAAGGAACCCAAAAGAACTAATGAGATTAATTCTATATCAAATCAATAATGGATAAAAATAAGTAGGGACTTATTAATCCAGGCCTTCCATCAAAAGTAGACGACATGAGATGCTACGATACTTTATCACCGACCATGAGTCGTGGGGTGGTTTTGTGTCGAAAGCTGTGATCCCTACTTAGTATAGTGATAATCGTGAGACGGATTCCTCTTTGTGTTGACCATGAGTCGTGGAACATTCTGGTGGGCCGTTATCATGAATGTTTGATGGGTTTGATTTGACACTGAGTAATATATACGGTCATAACATTGAGGTATATAAGGAAAAGTGAGGCAAAACATCTTGAAGGTTGTATAGAGATACAATTGTCAAAAGTTGACTACCGATAAAAATGTTTCATGCGTACTCATAAAATTGGGATATGGAATAGTTTTATTGGACTTCAAGCCCATTATGAAAATTAGATTTTCATAATTAAAATGGAGTTTTAATTAAAATAGTGGGAGACATTTAATATTTAAAGACCTAATATTAAATGAATATGAATTTCATAGTCTAATTATTTTCTGCTTCTTTTGTTGTTTTTGTAGATCAGTCTACTAAAATGGCTAAAAATCCAATTGCAAGTATCCTTGAACAAAACAAATTAACTAAACCCAATAAATGTTATCATTGTGGTAAACTGGGCATTGGAAGAGGAACTGCAAAAATTATCTTGCAAGCCTGAAAAGTTCAGGTATTTATTTTGTTGAAGTTAACTTATCAGTTAACGATTCTTCTTAGGTATTGGATACTGGATGTGGCTCATATATTTGCAATGATTTGCAAATGATGGCAAGAAGTAAAAAGCTAAAAAATGATGAAACAATCCTAAAGATGGGCAATGGAGCAAGGGTTGCTGCCAAAGCAATTGGGACTGTTTGTCTAGCTTTAAATAATGGTGTAAAAGTTTGTCTTACAAATTGTTTGTATGTTCTGGATGTTATAAGAAACATAATTTCTATTCCAGTGATGGATAAAGAAGGTTTTAAGTTCGTAATTGAGAATGGAAGATGTTCCATTTTCAAAGATACAACTTTTATATATTACAGAAATTTGACAAATGGTTTATATACCATTGCACCGCAAAGTCCCATCCTAACCATTCAACAAAATAAAAGGAAATTTGATAATCATAGTTCATTCACAATTTGGCATGCTAGATTAGGTCATATATCTGAAAAAAGGATTCACAAATTGGGACCAAAACTCGACCTTAGGGAAAAGAAAGGTTGCCTACATGTGAATCATGTCTTAAAGGTAAAATGACTAAATCACCATTTGTTGGACAAGTGGAGCGAGCTAAAGGTCTGTTGGATTTGATCCATACAGATGTTTGTGGACCACTAAATGTTAGTGCCAAGGAGAACTACCACTACTTCATAACTTTTAATGATGATTATTCACGGTATGGTTATGTATACCTATTAAGGTATAAATTTGAAGTACTTAAAAAGTTCAAAGAATTCAGAAGTGAAGTGGAGAAACAAATTGGTCGTAGTATTAAAGTTTTTCGATCGGATCGAGGAGGTGAATATTTGACCAATGAGTTTCTTGATTATTTACAAGATAATGGGATTATTTCACAGTTGACGCCTCCTGGAACTCCACAACTCAATGGAGTTTCAGAAAGGAGGAATCGAACATTGTTGGATATGGTTCGATCAATGATGAGTTCCACTAGTTTACCTCTTTCATTCTGGGGCTATGCCTTAGAAACAGCAGCACATATTTTGAACAGAGTGCCAAGTAAAGCTGTACCCAGCACACCTTATGAGATATGGTGTGGCAAAACACCCTCATACAAGTATATGAAAGTATGGGGTTGTACTGCTTATGTGAAGCAGTTAGTGGGAGGTAAGTTGGATATGAGATCTATCTTATGTAAATTTGTGGGGTATCCAAAAGAGCCTATTGGATACTATTTCCATGACCCCTCTGAACAAAAGGTATTTGTTTCGATGAATGCTGTATTCTTAGAGAAAGAGTTTCTCTCAAAGAATAGTGGAGTCATAGAACTTAATGAAGAACCACAAGAAATTCTACAAAGTACCACAAATAACATACTAGCAGAGACTGGACCATCTGAAACACAACCTCTTCGGAGATCCGAAAGGGTTTCTAGGGCGCCTGAGAGGCTGTACCTATTGTTAGAGAACAATGAAGAGGGACTACTTTTGGATAATGATCCAATAAGCTATGACGAGGCAATATCGGACATTGACTCAGATAAATGGCAAGAAGCTATGCAATCCGAAATAGACTTCATGTATTCAAACAAGGTATGGACCTTGGTTGATCCACCATAGGGTATTGTAGCCATAGGTTGTAAATGGGTTTACAAGCGAAAACGTGGTGTAGATGGAGAAGTGAATACTTTTAAAGCAAGACTAGTTGCTAAAGGTTATACTAAAAAATAAGGAGTTGATTATGAGGAAACTTTTTCACCAGTTGCAATGCTTAAATCTATTCGAATATTGCTAGCCATAGCTGCGTATTATGACTACGAGATATGGCAAATGGATGTGAAAACTGCTTTTCTTAATGAAAACATTAAGGAAGACATCTATATGAAACAACCGCAGGGTTTTATATCCAGTGGGAGCGAACAAATGGTTTGTAAGCTTCAAAGGTCCATTTATGGACTTAAACAAGCTTCGAGGAGTTGGAACATCCAGTTTGATGAAACGATCAAAACGTTTGATTTTCATAAGAATCCGGATGAACCATGTGTTTATAAGAAGGTTAGTGGGAATGCAGTTGCATTTGTTGTTCTCTATGTTAATGACATCTTACTCATTGGGAATGATGTAGGAATGTTGCAGTCAACAAGGACATGGTTGTCAAAATAGTTTTCCATGAAAGACTTGGGAGAAGCATCCTTTATCCTAGGGATGAAAATATATAGAGATAGATTTAAAAGGATGATCGGACTATCCCAGTCTATGTACATAAATAAGGTGCTAAAAAGATTTAGCATGGAAGAATTTAAACGTGGATATATTCCAATGAGTCATGGGGTTTCACTTTCTAAGACGATGTCTCCAAAGACACCTGAAGAAAGAGAACGGATGAGTCATATACCTTATGCATCAGCTATTGGTAGCATTATGTATGCAATATTATGTACAAGACCTGATGTGGCTCATGCACTTAGTGTAACGAGCAGATATCAGTCTAATCCAGGTGAAGGACACTGGAAAGCCGTTAAGATGATTCTTAAGTACTTAAGAAGGACTAAAGATATTTTTATGGTATACGGCAATGAAGGATTGAAAATAGAAGGCTTTACTGATTCTGATTTTCAGTCCGATAAAGACGACTATAAATCCATGTCTGGATACTTATTCACTCTGAATGGAGCAGTAATTAGTTGGAAAAGTTTCAAACAAGAAACGATTGCTGAATCTACAACAGAGGCTGAATATATTGCTGCATCTGATGCTGCAAAAGAAGCTGTTTGGATAAGGAACTTCATCCAAGGGTTGGGTATAGTACCATCTGTTGTTGATCCAATAATGATTTATTGTGATAACAATGGGGCTATTGCACAAGCAAAGGAGCCAAGATCTCATCAAAGATCCAAACACATTATGAGACGATAATTTGATTAGAGAAATCATTGGTAGAGGCGCCATCGTAATGGAGTGAGTCGACTCAACAGAAAATATAGCAGATCCCTTAACTAGACCTTTATCACAGAAAGTGTTCGAAGGACATCTTGAGAAGATGAGTCTAAGATACATGAGTGATTGGAACTAGGGCAAGTGGGAGATTGTTAGAGTAGGATACCCGGTGTTCCAATCGGATTGGACGTATTCTACTTGTAAATACAATCTATTGGAATTATATTAATTAAAGGCATTACTTTATTTTAAGAATAAGCATTTATCTTATATTTGCACTTAAGATAAAGTCCCTAGATCACTTATAGCTATAAGGTATGGTTGCACATAGAGATGGTGATCATGGAACATACTTTAAAAGTTGTGATCTTAAATACAGTTCCAAGTAGTTGGATGTTTTGAGATGGGATATCAAATAAATTCGGAAAAGACTTGCACATATGATGTATGCTTGTTGGACAAGAATGTTGCATTCCATCAACATTAGCGTGGGACGCAAACATATATATGTGGGTGCCTGTTAGAGAACAAGTTCACTGAACATGACCGTATGAAAATTCTTAATGAGAATTTTTCTGTCGAATAAGAATTTTCATGTTACAATAGTACATGATTAATCCTTGGACTTGAGGCACGATAGTAACTTTGTGCATATTATGTTTTACTTTGATTTATCCTTTTGATTGCTAGCACAATCGTATAAAGGAATATTTTTGGTATTATATTAATATCTATGGAAGTTTGTTAGTAGCCAACAAAGGATTCGACACTTATGAAGATAAGTGAATTTCCTATGTGTTTCATAGTTAGTAATTCAAAGTCCTTGGCCAAGGCGGGATGAATACAGATTCATAAACGAATTACTAAACTTGAAATGGAATCATAGTTATTAAATCAATTTGGGTTTCGATAAAATCATATCCAAGATTTAATCGGGAAATTGGATGTCGAAAGGATTTTACATGTATGGACTTGTAATCGAAATAGGTTTACTCGCTATTCACTTACTAGATTCATGCTACTTGCTAGATGTTCTCATGATATGTGGGTTCTTGAATTAAGGAGTTAATTCATGAATAAGAGTTAATAAGATTAACTCAAATTAGAAAAAGTTGTAAGCCCACTACTAGTATTAATTGTGAACCTAAAAGGTCACACCAATTTTTGAACGAAGGTAAAATTCAAATAGTAATTCTAAAGAGTTAGAATTAATTGACAAATCTAATTTGATTAGTCATCAATTTATGGAATATATTAAATTAATTAATTGAATTGATTAATTGAATTTTGGATATTAATTTAGTAATTAATGGAATTACTAATTTAATAGTTGGAATTAAAAATTAGATTTTAAATTTCAAATCAAAATAATAATATGATTATTAAATGAGGAGATGGAAGAAAAGATTAAAATAAAAAAAGTCTTGAAAAAATGTTTTCAAGAATTATTATTTTATTATTTATCTTTAATATGATTAAAGATTAAATATTAATAAGAATAAATTAATTATAGTAATTTGGAGTTGTTAACTACTTCACATAATTAATTTTATTTTTATTAATAGAATATTGGGTGGGTAATAGTCTTCTTCAAGATTTAATATTTTATAAAAATATTCTTGAAGACTTTTTATATTTTATGAAAATATTCTACCTAATATTATTATTTTACACTAAAATGTTTAGTATAAATATGGACATATTTGATGTTCAATTTAGCTAAGTTTTTGGCTAAGTTTTTCAAGAGTTGAAAAGAGAGAAAAGAAGAAGTGTTCTTCAAAATATAAAACAAGAAAGAGTTCTTGTAAAAATCTCCTCAAAAATATATTCTATAATTATTGAATAAAAATCGAGTAGTTTCTACTAGCGAAGAAATTATTGCGGAACTGGATTTCAAAAGGTGGACACGATTAGAGGGAAAACATTTGGATTCCTAAAGTGAGTAACATCAAGAAATGGACGTTACCAAACCGGGAATTGATTTCCTCATCCATCGTCAATTTGAAGGAGTTCAAGAACAAAGGTAAATTTTAATTTACTTATAACAAATCAAAATTTGTATTATTACATGTTTTTAAATGACGACGATCTGTGCATTCACTACATGTACGTATGGGTTGAGTATTTATATGATAAATACTTGTTTTGAAATATAATTTTTCTGCTGCGTATAATCCGTATGGTACAGGTGAACCTAACAACACATTCTCCGTCTTGATTAATGGTAGTCCCACCACCTTTTTCCCTTCTACCCGGGGCCTTCGTCAAGAGGACCCCCTATCCCCCTCCCTTTTTGTTCTGGTAGCCGACTATCTCTCCCGCTGCCTTGACAGCTTCATTCGCGACTTTCTGAGGATGACCTACAGCAGGCGTGGTTGTGGGCCTCCCATTTCCCAACTCTCTTATGTGGATGACATTATCATTTTCACTCGTGCGAATGATGATGGGCTAGTAGATCTTATGAGTCTTTTGGACCACTACAGTGAGACCTCTGGCCAGCTAGTCAGTGTTAGCAAGAGCACCTTTATCATGGACCACCACATTATAGATCAGTGGGCTCACCAGGTCCACGAGCGCACCGGATTCGCTCGTGGAGACTTATCCATCACCTACCTTGGGGCCCCCTGTATAAGGGTCATCTATCCCATGAGCTTTTCATCGACGTCCGTCAGAGGATGATCGACCAGATTTCTGGCTGGTCGCATAGACACCTATCCTTCATAGGCCGACTTGCTCTGATCAAGAGCACTCTTTGTTCCCTCCCTCTTCACATTCTCGCGATGCTCGATCCTCATCAGTCTACGATTCACGAGTTAGACCATATCTTAGCCTGCTATTTTTGGATCCATGGCGAGGGCTCGGGGGGACGGTGGCAGACTCACTGGGTGAAGTGGGACTCCATATGCCGTCCCTACTCTGAGGGTGGGCTTGGGATTCGATGGTTCTCTGATGTTGTCACTGCGTTTTCCTACAGGATGTAGTGGCGCTTTAGGGAGGGCAAGTCCCTTTGGGCCCAATACCTTCTTAGGAAGTATTGCCCTGGTGGAGCTGAGCATCCTTGCAGGGTGACTGCCACTATTCGGGATAGTCGACAGTGGAGACGGCTCACCATTGTT